CGCTTCGCGCCCCGCAGGTCCTCGGCGTCGCCGGCGCGGCGGTGGCGGCGATGCAGGTCGCGGGCGGCAAGAGTGATCCATTCCCTCGGGCACCCTCGAGAACCTTCGGGGGCCTCCGGGAACTCTGCCAGGACCCGGCAGGAACCCTCGCAGAACCCATCGGGGAACCCTCGGGGGCGCTGGGGTTCGGGCGGCGCGAGAAACGCGGGGGGCCGCCGGCTGGCGCGGCGGGGGGGGCCAGACGGGAAGCGCGAGCGAGTGGCCTCGCGGCCTCGGCCCCCGTCGGAACAGCGCGTCGTCAACAGCCCCGGGGGCGCAGATGACAAGCTCTAGGCGTCGGGCACAAGGGATTCAGGGAGATGCCAACATTTCGTTGGGGAAAAGACCTGGGCGAGTCAGCGAGGCAGACTTCGACTCGCGCAGCCCGCCGCAACGCTTCGCGTCGAGACGCTGAAGGGCCTCTCAAAGTGAAAAGAATCTGCGGGGTCTTAGGATCGAGGGTGATGGTTCGAGCAAGGATGGGCGCGCGGTATTGTTAGGATGTCTTAGGGCTGTGAGGGCCCCTGCAGATCCCGAAAGATTTCTTAGGACCCCCTGGATATTCCAAAGGATTTCCGGCGGTCGCCGAAGGGCCCGGGGTGCTTCCTGAAGGATTCCTGGTGGATTCTCCGGGCTCCTGAAAGATATGTCGGCTTCTTGGGGCCCCAATTGACTCGTCAAGATTCATGCAAATTCCTGAGGATCGTTGGGCTTCCCGGAGGAACCCGGGGGATTCCTGCAAGTTTGCTGCCCGCTCCAAGAGGAATCGCGCGGATTCCTCTCAATTTCTCTAGGTTTCCTCGAGGGGGGCTTCATCTGGGGCCCTGAAGATCCCCGGGGATTTTGGAAGTTTCTGGGGAGGGGGGGGGCGTGATTCGCGTTGAGTTCCCGCGGAAGGATGTCTCAATCTTCCTGGAGGTTGCTGAAGGATCCATCGTAGATTTCGCTGCGCCCGCGCCCCCATGGCCACGATCCATGGGGAATGGCGGCGCCTGCGTTCCCACGACCCATTGCTACTTGAGTTGAGCCCGCGATCCCATGGCCAAGATCCCGCATCAATTGCGGTGTTTCCGCGCCCCCACGGCCGCGATTCATTGCGAATTACATTGTGACTGCGGCCCTGAGAGATCTGTCGGGTTTGATTCTTAAAGATTCCCGAAGATTCCTGCGGGCCCCCTAGGACCCCTGAGGATTCCTGCAAAGTTGGCCGTGGATCCACTCAATCCTCCGAAGATTTCGCAAGTTTCTGGAAAAGCCCCAAATGATTCGTGAAATATTCGTGAAAAGAAATTCCGGAGGATTCCCGAAAAATACTTTTGACGTGCATTCCTGAACGGTGCCTCGCACACTGCGCTGCGTCCGCGCTCCTGGGGCACAACCTCTGCAAGTTACATGGCGCCCGCGCTCCCAGGGCCACTGCCCATTGGAGATAACTGTGCTTGCGCACTCCCGGGGCCACGAGGCACCCGAAATCGCCCCAAAACGCCCCAAGGACTCCCGAGAGGGCCCCGCGAGGGCCCCGAAGCGGGGCCTCCGAAGGCCCCCCGCGAGGCCCCAAGAGGCCACCAAGAAACCCCAAGAGGCACCCAAGAGGCTCCCAAGAGGCTCCACAGAGGCCGCCAAGAGGCTCCCAAGAGGCCCTAAATCTGCGCGCGATCCCTCCAGGGCCACGATCCCGCCCCCCCCCCCGCCCCCATCGGGACTGAACTGTCATATGTGATGTGCTCACTTATCACTGGTAGGTTATTTCGGTGGTATCCCCCACGCTTGAAATAAGTCCAGGTTATGGTGCTAACGATAACACTGGGGGGGGTCGATCATTGGTTCTTTTGGTTACGTCTGGACTTCCAGAAACGATGTTTACACGCATGCGGTCTTCAGGGCTCCAGCTCGCCGAGGCCCACAAGTCCTGTCCATTCGCTGTGTGTTTTGGTTGCCCGCTGGTGGTCGTGAGGCGCTGGTACATGTATTCAGTCGTCCCGAAACGCTGGGCACCGACGTTGCCGAACTGGTACGCGCACGCCTCTGTTATGCTCTCCGTGTCCAACACCATGTTCGATGTAAGGTAGTTGGTCACTTACTTCTTCTCGGAATCCTCGGGAAACAACTCACGAAACGATGCGGGATCACTTGTACTTTTCTTCCGATGTCGGTTGTTTTCCTTTCTTGTCGTTCGTGTCGACAGGCGCCTTCCTAACATCCTTGATGAGTTGTTTCCCACACCCTCTGTGCTAATGGCTCGCTCCTCAAACCGATCTGCTCTTCGAGCCCAGCGGCTTTCCCCATAACGTCCTCCGCCACCGCATGTGCCAGGCTGGCCTGGAGCTTGACTTGAACATTCTTGTCCTTCACTTCGTTCAGGTTGGTCTGGGCCCTGGACTACGCCTGCAAGCTGATTCCAAAACCTCCGCTGGTTGATCCCCATCCTCTACCAAAGTCGCCACCTCCTCCATTACGGCCTTATCGCCTTTCTCTCGTTTGCGTTTCGGGGGCGGACTGGGGACCACCAAAGCTCTTCAAACGTCCATGACACCAGATCGCTCGAAGCATTGGGGGATATACGTGCTTGTTTTGATGCACCGACAGGGACCAAGATCTTCCAATCTTGAGCCAAGCCTGAAAGTCGGCAACTTGAATTTGAATTTCATCTTGAGCACTTTGGACCGCCTTGAGTCTTAATGGCAGGTCTCCGGAAACCTCCAAAGGCCTTCAAAGGTCTGTGCAAGCCTGCGGAGGTCCTAATGATGTTTTTTTTTTGTATTTGCGATAACGCACGTGACCGGCCCCGCCACTCCCCCCTGGTCGCGTCGCGATTCGAGCTGGCGATGTCTTGGAATCAACCATTCCTGGACGCTTCCAAACGGCACCGGCGAAAATCATGACGTGACCAGGCCATCCACCGCTAGCGCCCCCCACCGTCACGCCCGTGATCGCCAAGAAATTACCCTGCGAAGACCCCAACCGATCGGCACCAAGGGATAACATAAGGTGTGCCGTCAAGACCGTGATAGCAACACTGCAAGAGACGGCTCACGGTGGATGTCTATATCGTGCAAACTGTGCGTGGCTGACTCGAAAGTGGCGACAGTTTCGCACCCTGGCCCGCCCAGCAACCCGCGAAAGTGGCTACGGTTTCACACTTCGCAGCCCCCCCTCTCAGGATGGCGAGGTCCCGTTTGGATCTGCGTGGGGCCCCAGTGTGCTGGCCCCCCTCTGCAGCCCCTCGAAAGTGGCGACAGTTTCACACTTCAGCGGCCCTCGAACGTGGGGACGGTTTCACACTTCGCAGGCCCCCCCCCCCCCAGGGATGGCGAGGTTTGTGTGGGGTCTGCGTGGGCCTCCACTGCGAGGGCTTCCCCAGCAGCCCTCTAGTGGCGACAGCTTCGCAATTCACATCCCGCCAGGGGTTACGAGGTCACGTTGGATTTGCGCGTGTGGCCCCACCGTGCGAGCTTCCCCACCAGCCCTCGAAAGTGACAGAAATTTCACACTTTGCAGCCACCCAAGGACAGCGAGGTTTTTGTGGGGGTCTGCGTGGGGCCCCACTGCGCGGGCTCACCCAGCACCCCTCGAAAGTAGCGACGGTTTCACACTTCGTAACCCCCCATGGATGGCGAGGTCCCGTTCGGATTCGCGTGGGGCCCCACTGTGCGGGCTATCCCAGCAGCCCTCGAAAGTGGCGACGATTTCACACTTCGCCGCCCCCCAGAGATGGCGAGGTATTTTTTCTTGCCTTGCGTGGGGCCCCACTGTGCGGGCTCCCCCAGCAGCCCTCGAAAGTGGCGAGGATGTCACACTTTGCAGCCCCCCAGGGATGGTGGGGTTCTTTTTGGTCAGCGTGGGGCCCCACTGTGCGGGCTCCCCCAGCAGCCATCGAAAGTGGCGGCGATTTCGCACTTCGCAACCTCCCCAGGGATGCCGAGGTCTTTTTTTGGTCTGCGTGGGGCCCCATTGTGTGGGCTCCCCCAGCAGCCCTCGACGAAAGTTGCGACAGTTTCACACTTTGCAGCCCCCATAGGAATGGCGAGGTCTTTTGAGGGCCTGCGTGGGGCCCCACTGTGGGGGCTCCCTTAGCAGCCCTCGAACGTTGCAGCAGTTTCAGACTTCGCGGCCCCCTAAAGGGAAGCCAGAGAAGAGGGCCGAGAGGAGAGTGGGGGGGCGGGGGTGCAAGGATGAGAAGAAAGGAATTGGCGATCCCCCTGCTCTATGCAAAACGAGAACCCCACCACGGGAGGGTTGGGCGAAAAAGGTCCCGTACAACACCACACAACTTAGCTGCCCCGATACGCAACATGCAATCCGTAGCGTGTTGACACAGAGCTCAGCACGTGAACACTTAGGTCTGGCGCGATCTGGTCGTCAACAGTAGCACAACACGTGCCGAACCAACACGCAACGTGTTATCACGGACGTTATGAACATAATACGTGTTGCGTTTCCAGACGGGCGCATCAGGGCAATTGAGCCACGCAGCAATCATGCTCCTCTTCCCCCAACGTTAGCCTCAACCTCTGCCTCAAGGGAGATAAGGGAGATGCGCGAGATATCCAGCGGGATCATTGAGAGTTTACCCTTACGAGTAAGACCGACCTTGCTAAGACGGATAGGGAAGAGAAAGAGAGAGAGAGAGAGAGAGACAGAGAGAGAGAGAGAGAGCAGAAAAGAGAGAGCGAGAGAGCGAGGGAACGAGAGCAAGATAGACCAATCTATACATAGAGCGAGAGAGAGAGAGAGAGAGAGAGAGGGAGAGAGAAAGAGAGAGAGAGAGAGAGAGAGAGAGCAAGAGAGAGCAAGAGAGAGAGAGAGAGAGAAATAAAGAACGAGAGAAGGAGAGAGAAGGAGAGAGAACGAGAAAGAGAAAACAAACGACATCTTCAGCCTCCAACTAAGCCCTCAACGTCAGCCTCAGCCTCGGCTCCTCCGATCGGGCCCTTCCCGCGGCGCCCCGTCGTCCCGCCTGCCTCCCGGGCGCCCAGACGGCGGCGGCCCGTCGGGCGGCGTCGGCAGCATCGGAGGCTCGTGGGCGAGACTCGACATTGCTGACCAGCCTTGAGCCCATCCCTATCCCTGAGATTGACATGCCCCACAGCGGTGACAATCTTGAGGATGCGCCCTCAGAAACTGAGGGGATCAATCAGATCGGCATCGAGAGAAGGTAGTGCCGATCACGGAAGTAGGGGTGCAATCAAAACGTGTATTAAGGACGTGTGGTAAGGACGCAAGACCATTCGAGACCGAAGTTGGATTTTTTTTGGCGGCGGGCGACCAGTGGAAACGGTAAAGGACGGGCCGCAGAGGCAAGGACGCAAGGGCACCCCAGATGAATGCGCGCGTCCTTACCAGGCGCGTTGACTGCATGTCTCAGGCTGGTGAATTGGGCGAGCACGCGGGCCCCGAGCAGGCTCGGCTGGCGGCGAACGCAGCGCAGAGCAGCGTGGCTGTGGAACAACGTCCACTGTCCCACCTGCCCTCTGGGCGGAGGTGGCTTCGGTGATCCGCTCTTCGATGCCCCTTTCCTCCAGAGAAGAATGGTGCGCATCCCCGGCCCCACCTGAGGCGCCGAGGGAGGGAAGAGGAGGGAGGGAGGGAGGATGTGGAAGATGGGGAGGAGGGTCGAGGCCTCCTCCTCCTCCTCCTCCTTTTTTACGTTAGGCAAACATGAAGCGGGGCCTGTTGCGTTACTCTCCTCCTCCTCCTCCTCCTCGTCGTCCTCATCCTCCTCCTCCTCCTCGTCGTCCTCGTCCTCGTCCTCGTCCTCGTCCTTGTACTCCATTTCATCCTCCTCCCTCTCCTCGCTGGCGTTCTCGTCGTCCTCGCCTGCTCTTCTTCCCTCCCCCTGCTCCTCCTGCTCTGGCTCCGGCTGCTGCTGCTGCTGCTGCTGCTGCTGCTGCTGCTGCTGCTGCTGCGCTTGCCCCCCCCGAGCGCGTGCCGCGCGGGGGGGCATAGGGGGGTGGGGGGGAAGATGACGACGAGGAAGCAGGCCTCGATCCTCCCTCCTCGACCCTCCCTCCTCGATCCTCGTTCCCTCCTCCTCCTCGCTCCTCCCTCCTCGATCCCCGATCCTGGGCCCCCCCGAGAGCTCGGCAAAGAGAGGTCCTGTACGACGAGCCCACCAGCCGCCTGGCGCTGGAGGTGTTGTGGCCTTCTGGGGCCTCTGGAAACTAATTTCCACGTCGTCCGTCGTCGTCCGTTGTTCGTCGTCGACGCTCCTCGCCATCAATATTGTCTTTCCTCCGGCTCTTCCTCCCCCTGCTCCTCCTCCTCCTCCTCCTCCTCCTTCTCGTCGTCGCCATCGTCCTCCTTACTCCTCCCCCTTTCCTCCTCCTTCTCCTCATTCGCATCCTTGTCTCAGACGGTAGGGCCATGGCATCGTGTCGGAAAACCACTTCGCGCCTGCGTGCCTCCAGATAGATAGACCTCTTGGTGGAGCTGGACGAGATGCGCCCTGTTCCCGTGGGCGGACGCGTACCCCTTCCCCGACGACCTGTCATGACAGCTTTGCGCCAACTCGTCCTCGTCCAATACTGGCATGTGGTCATGGTGCAGCCTGCAACCTGCCGTTTTTCCAAACTCAAATAACGAATGGACAGCTGTTCTCCAGCAGCGAGGACAAGTCCGCCACCTTGGCCTCAACTACTCGCCTGGCCGATGGTATCGGCGGACGGGCCAAAGCATTCGGAGTGCGCATGGTGGCCCACGAGAAGCACTTGGGCACACCGCTGGCAGGAAGCGGAGCGCGACGCCGCGACGGCCGAGCACTGGCGGACGGCGTGGAGCGCACGGGTCGGGCGCGCGCTCCGTGGCAAGATGTGCGAGGCTCAGCGGGAGCGTACACAGTCAACCCGTACAATAAGGACGCGCGATGAGGATACAAGGGCCTTGGAAGGCCATGTCGACACTCTGCGAGCGGGGCGCGGCCAGCGAAAGCGGCCAAAAATGGGCCGAATGGGCAAGGATGCGAAGGGTACCCTTGGGAAGGTTGCCCGTCCTTGCTATGCGGGTTGACTGTACACTGCCACGAGAGGGGAGGTCGGATGGCGCAGCCGGGCTCCAGAAGACGAAGCGAGACGAGGGTAAAATCAGGTGAAGATGAATCCAGAATCTCTGAGATCAGGCGGCTCTGGAGGACGCCTCGGGCGCCGAGGCCTTCTCGGAACGTGGCGGAACGCTCCGAGAGCTTCCCAGAACGCTCTGGGACGGACTCATCCTCGTCCCAGCCCCGTCCGGAGCACTGCCACGAGAGGGGAGGTCGGATGGCGCAGTCGGGCTCCATGATCACTACCAGTGCGTCGTGATCGCGTTGCGCACGCAGCTGTTTGCTTGGGCGGGCTGAAGGCGGCTGGCTTGCCAAGCGGGCGGGCCTATACGCAGAAAGCGACGCTGGCCCAGGCAACCCTCAACCCACCAACCGATGTGGGGGGCCGGTGTAGGAGAGCTGGGCCCCGGGAGGAGACGTTGGGCGGGCTGCAGGCGGGCAGGCTCGCCGAGCGGGCGGGCCTAGATGCAGAAAACGATGCTGGCCCAAACACTCCTCAACTCATCAACGATATAGTTTTTTTCCGAATTAAGTAACACATCGGTTTGTTGAGTCCAGACAAATATTTTGAATTCGAAACATACAACAGAAACTGGTTCTTCGAATTCAAAAACTATCCCAGTGTGACCCTACCTAGGAGTTGGAGCATTTAGGAAAGCAACATCTACATCTACACCGACAGCTACATTTACATCTACATATATACCGAGAGCTTCCACGCCTGCTGTGCTATGCTATGCTATGCTGCGCTATGCTATGCTATGCTTTGCTATGCTGCGCTATGCTATGCTTTGATATGCTATGATATGTTGCGCTATGCTATGCTATGCTAGGCTATGCTATGATATGCTATGCTGCGCTATGCTATGCTGTGCTATGATGTGCGAATGCTGCGCTGCGCTATGCTGCGCTGCGCTGCGCTAAGCTAAGGTAAGCTAAACAGTGCTAAGCTAAGCGAAGCTAAGCTAAGCTAGGCTAAACTAAGCTAAGCTAAGAAGAGATAAGCTAAGCTAAGCTAAGCTAAGCTAGGCGAAGCTAAGCTAGGCTAGGCAAAGCTAAGCTAAGCTAAGCTAAACTAATATGAGGTAAGCTAAGCTGAGCTAAGCCAAGCTAAGCTAAGATGAAATAAGCTAAGCTAAGCTAAGCTAAACTAAGCTAAGCTGGATGAACCCAGGGGGCGCAACTGGGGGAACCGCGGGGCGGATCCTGGGGGAACCGCCCGGGGCGTGGAACACTGCCCGGCCCTTTAAGCTTATAAAGTAAGAACCCTTCTAGGCAGAGCCTAAGTAGAGAATCGCATTTTTTGATTCGAAAACCGATCGTCGGTTCCCCGAGGGCTTGAAAACGATGCCTTCGAGCCCCCCCCCCCCGGTCCCCCCCCCGACCCTCCGCGAGGCAGGGGGGACGAGGTCCAAGGCGCCTCCCATCCCGTCGCCATCCTTCTCCTCCCCCTCCTCCTCCTGCTCCTCGTGCTCATGCTCCTCCTGCCGCTGCTGTTCCCCCTCCTCCTCCTCCTCCTCTTCCTTTTCTTGCGTTGACTAAGCCTGAATCCTACGATTGTGGCGTTCTTGAATAAAACAAGTGCGACTCAGGTCAAGAAGCACCTGGCGGGCGCCGCGGAAAATGAAATAATCAAAGACAAAGCCGATAATAGTATGGAGACTAGGCGCCCGCCAGGTCCTCGAGGTAGGAACTATCTAGTAACCAAGAATCCCCAATACTAGTGTCCCGCATATTACTTTTAGGTAGTGCCTCCGCTGATGGCAAGTAACAATAAAAACAAGGTGCGAAGAGCGACGCCGTGACTGTGGCAGTTCTAGGATTGCTACCCAAGGTCGCAAGCCGTAGGTACGTCCGCCTCAACCGCACAGCATGTTCCCACCCACCCACCCTAAGGTTTGTGCATGTGCCATCTGGTGGCACAGTAGAACAGGCTGCAAAGTTTTTTTTGAACAAAAAAGTGAGCCTAGGAGTGATACGAGTGGCTGCTGAGGAACAGCAAGCAAAAGTGACAGAAACGTGACTGACTGTACCAGTTCTTGGGTTGCTGCCCAGGTTTTATTGGTTAACCCCAAACGACATTGTTCCCAAAGCCCTCGTGCTTTTTGTAGTTCTTCTCGGGTTTAGCACGAGCCCATTCGTATCAACTACGTGCGGGTTGGTAGGCTGGCATGTGGGGATACAGGCTGGCTTGGAGGCAGTGCTGCTTAAATTTACCAAGTACTGTATGCCAGTATCCGCTGGGAGTGTTGACAGCAGGAGTTAGGCTGGCCTGTGTCAGGATAAGGATGGCCTGGAGGCAGTACTGCTTTTGTACCAAGTATCGGATATCAGCTGAGTGTAGGCAGCAGGACATTAGATATGCTGGGGTCGTACCCTGTGGGGGGCCCGAGTGCGCATTTAATGCGACAACATGTGGATTGCACTGCTAGGGCTGCGACCCAAGGTGTTAGGGCATACCCTGAACCTGTTCCTTAGAGAGGAGAACCACCAACGTATCGGATCGTTCTGCGGAGAAATAAAAAAGGGTGTAAGTCGCACCAGTGGAAGGAGCGAGCGGTGAGAGTTGGGCAAAGAGCCGGCGTGATTCACTTCAGCCCTCTCGTAGCGGGGCTGATGTTGCAAAATGAACAGCAATTCTTGGGCTGCGACCCGTTTTTTTAGGCGGACCCAAAACCTGTGATGCGGGTGACGAGGCCATCAGGGGAAATAGGGTCATGCGACGCCGAAGGTAGTATTTGCTGGTGCGCGAAGTCCGTACTCGTGGGCAGATTGCTCACGCGCAAGCTGTTGCACATAAAGAAGTCGGTCTGCTGCACAAAGGCCCACTCGTAGTGTGGGCTCATGCTGCAAAATGAACTCGCAATGTTTGGCCTGCGACCCAACAATTTTTGGGGGCGGACCCCAAACCTGTGATGTGAGCGAGGAGGATAATACGGGAATAAGGGTCAAGTCTGCTGAGCGGAGTCGCACCCTGTCGGGGACCCATGGGCGCGAAGTGCGCGGCTGAAAAATGAAAGTATCCTGTGTCAGAATACACCACG